AATAGCTGCATGTATATATGAAATAACACGTCTAGTCACATCCAAATTTTCTATAATAGTAAATCCGACAAACGTATACATATAGTATATTAATACGATAACAAATTTTGGTGTAGGTTATAATGTGAAAGTATGTGTGAACTAAAATCGTTATTATTTTAAGTTAGGTCTTAAGAACAGCGCAAGTGATTACGTATACTTACGTAATCGTCAGAGCATTCAAGCGTAATCTCTGAACACATGCAAGTCAAAAGAGTCACTCAACGCTCTGCAGAAAGTCGTGGGTTTCCTCTGGCCGTACTCCAGTTTCCTCCCACCGGGAATGTTGACAGAGTGGGTGGGGATTGGCCCTTAACTGGCCCTTCCACCGTACCAGTGCTGCATGATCAGCAATGAGGTGGCTGCTAGAGGCGTCCTTAGAAGGCCTTTGACTCTATCAGATTAAGCTGCGTCCTTTGCATTTCATCTCAAGTAAGGTTGACAACTACTAATCTTAAAAAATCAACATTGCATAGCGGGAGAGGGGGAAATAACATCAAAGAAAGGGAAGAGCCTGGGAACGAGGTTGCTACCAAACTTACAGTGAAAATTTAAACGAGTAAATACCATTGCACAGCGCAATTAGGCACAAAAGCAAGCCAGTTAAACGAAAAAGTAATAGAGAGTTGACATTACTGGAGGAACATGCGACATTTTATTCGATGAAGAGATACGACAGAAAAACAATGCCTAAATTTGTCTTTTTTATTCAATCTTTTTACAGCTTATAATTATCAGGGAGCTTCGTTCTTCCTACAGCACTATACCTTAAGTAAGAGACTTTAGTAAGACTTAAGAAATTAAGTAAAATGTGTATATGAAATAATGACAATGCTGGGACCAAGGAACAAACAAAGTACTGGTCATAAAATGAAAATTGTTTGTGGATCTGATAAACGAATGTGAAGGGGATAAAGCGTTTCGGTACAGAAATATCTGTGGATGATTGATTTTCAATACAATACCATTGTTTACAATTGTTTTTTTCATTGTGTTACAGCTTATGAAGACTCATTCCTCCTGCAGGACTACCTTCATAAATCCTGTCTTTACCAAAAACCATACATGTTGTACACCAAGTACACGTTTGTCTTGGCAGGAGAAACATGTAGTTACGATAACTGGGATTACCGTTGGATCTGGACCAACTTTGGACAACTCTTAAATTGGGAGACCTTGGAATGTATGACAGATGATTACCAATACCAATACAAATATTTAGTAACGATGAAGAAATGTGACAAGAATAACCAGAAACAATTATGGGAATGTGTGGGTAACAAGAAATACAATATCAAGCAGACACAGTCAGGCAGACACATGTACTATGGAGAACATTTACAATATGTGACAACAAAAAACACATATTCGTATTATGATAAAAAATGGACACGCTTTGGTTCTGAAAAGCATGTCTGTTCACAAGGTATAGTCTGATCCTCAAACTTAATTATTAACAAATAATGAATTAAGAATCCCTTCCAACATTTATAACTGAACTAGAAATACATTCACGGTGAACCATAGCCATGCGCCCACGATTATTGCTGAACTTCGCAAATGCTTTCCTTTCAATTCCCCGGGTGTAAATAGCCGGGCGGAATTAGTACTCTAGATCTCGCACAAAGCTCCGCGCCGTTGGCTCGCGGATGATTCGACATGCTCGTGCCAATTGAGCTAACAACAGTTTTTCTAGTGCAACCTTTAGCCAAACAATCTCAACAACGTTAAGAGTATTATAATTATCGAGCGATAATTAACTCTTAACGTTGAGATTGTTGCGCTAGAGGTTGCACTAGAAAAACTGTTGTTAGCTTAATTGGCACTTTCTGCCCGCAAATGTGAAAGAAATAATCAAAAGCAATTGTGGAAATGTGTAGGCGACAGGATATCGAGCAGACAAGCTCAGGCAGATACATGTACTACGGAGAACAATACGGATATGCATGTGACAACAAAAAATATAATTGGGTTTATGCATCAATATGGACGCGCTTTGGTTCCAAAAAAAGATGTCTGTTGACAAGGTAGCCTGATTCTGAAACTTATCATCAAACAACCTCTTCAGGCATTCATGACTGGATGTTTCGAAACAATGATGCTAATTAAGCTAACAACGGTTTTTCTAGTGCAACCTCGAGCACAACAATCTCAATGTTAAGAGTTAATTATCGCTCCTTCCTGCCCTCGAAACTCCCGTATAACTTTACCAAATTTACCATACGGGCTCGTTTTCCCACTGATTCTTCTTGTTCTCCTAAACTCCCATGTGTGTTTCTATAATATGCAGTGTTATGGGAACATATGTTTTCCGTTCTTAAAGGGATATATATAGCAATAAAAGTT